TTGCTTAATTTATTAAGACGTACATACACATTTTTCACAATAGATAAAATATCTTTTACAATTAATATATAAGATAAAATGTATAATATATATTTTACATTTATTAGATTACATTAATATAATTTGTCATTCATTTGGAAAAATTGAAGATTAATGATAAAAATAAATTTATATCGTATCAAATATATATTTTACATACCATCAGAAGCTAGTTGTATTTGAAAGGCACAACCAGGATCACTAGGATCTTCTGCCTCACAAGTGACATTTCCAAACTGATCCACAGCTAAATAACGATCCAGATGAGATCGAAGGAAAACTTGTTGTTCACTACCTTCTAAAGTCCACAATTGCTTTTTCTTTAAACTTGAACCATTTGCATTAATTTTAAATCCAAAAGTTTCAGCTGTGAGATATTTGAATTTTCCATTTATTAATCCAACCTAGAAATAAATTAAGTGAGTATTAAAAAATATTAACTTTTAAAATGTCCTACTCAATTAGAATAAATTAATTTAATTGTAATATATATAATTCAACGATATTTATATGTTAAATAAACTTATTAAAATAAATTAAATTTATAATTTTAAATTCTGATTCACGCAAATACACTTTACAAGTGCAAAATAAAATAATTTCTAAACATTCTAAAACTAAAGTACTATATAAATATATATATATATATAAATTATAATATATAATATATAACTTAATACATATTTATATAATAATATATAAATATTATGTAGTAATACACATACAAGTAAATAATATATAAAATATTTATTTATTAAGAGTAAGATGTATTGTTTCCAATAATTAATACTTACTGTCCATCCCGATTTTTCGTTTATATTTTCAGAACCGACATTTTCAGCACCGTTAGCCTGCATTGTTTATTTCGTCGAATCGATCGTTATTTAAAAACACGTGTCGCAAAAGTCCTCAGACAGCTTCTGTAATTAAATATGAATTACACATTTTTTAACTTTTTAATTCAGTGCAGCAGAACAATATGCTTATTGTAATTATAAATAATAAAATAATATGTTAGAAGACAATATTAATGAATTATTAAATTATTCGTTGAAAAAGACGAATATGAAATATACAAAATAATTATTTTTTATAAATACGTAGATACAATTCTACAATATATATGAAATGTGAAATGTACAAAATTATTTTTCATAAGTACGTAAATACAATTTTATCAATAGTACAATCATTCTATTTCAGGATAAAACTTATTACACAGACATGTATATATATAGGTATCTTAAATTTGAATATAAACTTTGGGAACATGTAGAAGACTGATAAGATTAAAAGAAAAGGCCCTTTGAGATTTGCTCCATTCTGGAAAAACTCATGAAAAAAAAACAAAAAGATTTTAGTTTTTCCATTTATTTATTTATTATTTACCTCGCGTTATTACCGTATTATTATTTTGTAATATCATCTGTCATAATAAATGGTATAGTCTATATCATTTATTTAATGAAGAATACTATTCAAAATACTTGCTTTTCGCAGCAATGCAAGCATTACATCAAACGTTGACTGCACTTTGATTGCAGCTAGACATTATTCTAATGGTTTAGTGCGTTGCACCTTATAATTTGGTTTCACAGTTACTCTTTCGAATTGAATAGCCTACTGAATAAGTGAAAAAAATGAAAACATTTTTGTTTCTTTTTTCTTCAAAATGAAACAATTACCGAAAAAATTTTTAAAGGATTTCTTTTTATTAATTTATCAATCCTCTATATGCTCTCGAAGTTTTGACATTTAAATTCGGGACATCTTGTACATTGCATTTGTAGAACATCATCTTATACGTTATTATTATAGTTTATAACAGGTTTGGACAAATTTTACTCGACATAAAGATAAAGAAATAACAATTTCAAATAATGAGTTATTTTATCACTCATTTATTAATTTTACTCGAAAAGTAACTTTATCTTCGGTTCAAATCATAACCCCAAATAACCCCAGCAGAAGATGAAACGTACATAATAGAATCAGAAACTAACCTGAGTTTCTGCATTTGCAGAAATAAATGCAAAGTACAAAATGAAATAAAATATTATTTCATTCAATAGTTCAAACGGTGAGAAAAATTCCGAGAAAAATCATTTGCGGATTCAAACAAAATTATTTTAATGTTTTAATATAAATATAATATATTTTAAATTAATATAAATCAAATATATTTTAGTTTAGTATCGATTTTAAATTTATCTCAATTAGATTTCAAATTAAACGTAGAATTATTTCAAGATCGAGCCAAACAGGACGATATGTTATTTAAACAATCATCTTTCAAATATTTTATTCAAAATAATGCTCGCACCAAACTAAGGTTTTTTAAGGTCCCTCAGTTACTCTCCTGAGTTGATTGGCATTGAATAAACTTACTGTATCAAATGAAAATTTTTTTCTTTCCTTTGTTCACGATTTTCTCTAAAATCGAGCAAATTTCTAAAGGACTTTAAATTTCCCCTCTTAATTCATCGATTTTCAGGTTACCGGACATTTCGGACATTTAAATTCGGGACACCTTGTACATACGCGTAAGCCTGGCTTCTCCCCTTCACTGATAATTTTTAAAATACAGTTCCCAACTTAGAGTATTGTCTTTATTCCAAAAGTAAGTCTTTATTCCTTAAGATACATTTTATTTTCAACCCTCGTGAGTCCGTGACTCACTTCCTACGTGGTTTCCGCCGCCTGGGTGGGGCCAATTTCTTTTCAGAAAATATTAACGTTTCTTGTTAAGAAAATGTATCTTGTTGTTTGTTAAATTTTTTTCTTTAACAAACGATCCCTATTAATTATTGATCATCCAGCTCTAGTTGTAGAAAAGATATGTTGTATCCTTTTCATTTGTAAGTCCCAAACGTTTTATTCGACGTTGTTAAGCACAGTTCTTAAGCATTATTATGACATAAATTATTGAAAGCTGTAAAATATGTAAAGAAATTAAATACGAAGAAAATTCTTCTTTTTTCGTCAATTGATCGATTAATAACTGTCTTCGTTTGTTTTATTATTATTACAATAAATATTTGTTTAACAAAAATTAACATATTTGTTTTCGACAGTCGCATGTTAAATCAATAAAATACAATACACTACTAAGTTCTTGACAAATTTCTTATATTCGCTGTATTATTCTGCAAAATAATTTTTATTGATGTAAATACATGTAACATAACGAGGATAGAAATTATACGTAGAAGCACGAAGGTATACGAGTCAAAAATCAGTTAATTAAACCATAATGCAAAATCAATAGTACGATACGAAAGCCAGGACAATGACTGACGTTTCATCCACCCAGTTTGACAAAACTTATTTCTGCATAACAATTAAAGCGTTACAATAATATCGAATATTAAACATCAAAAATTGAATTAGAAATGTAGAATATAAAAAAACGAAGAAATTAATTGGATAATATGTTAAATCGAACCTTAGATTAGAATGTTCTAAAAAAATGATAAAGATAAAATATACTTAAAGTATCCAAAAAAAAAATAAATGTTTTTGAAGAGATAATTAAATAAAACGATTGAAGTGTGATGTTAATTGAAGCTCTGCGGCAAATTAATTTCATTCGTTCAATAATCGACAAATGACAAATAAACAATAATAATATAGATATAAAAATATCTACAATACAAAATTTATAATTAACGCGAGTATATGGGCACGTATATATAGAACAAAGATAAGGTAAAAATTTTAAATAAAATATTACGATTTTGTTGCTAGGTACATTGCTTACCAAGTGGAAAAGGTAGACAGGTATGCGTTTAGTCTCGAAAAACCACTAAAGAACAATGACAGAGAAAGAACGTACTGCAATAAAAGTACAAGTCACGAGCGACGAATTATATTCGCCACAACAATGTATATCCAGCCAACAACTGACTTAACTCGCTTGTTCTTCTCAGTTTGTGTTAAGGATTTCTCAGGACTTTTGACGCATGCGCAAAATCTGACTCCACCATCGGGTCAGGACTGTATATAAAATGCAATATTGTCGGGGATGTCGTAAAATTCTTCTGTTGTTTTGTTACAATCATTTTCACTAATTACATGCGTTGTAAAAGCTGCTCGACACTATAACGTTGACTCACGCAACGCATGGTTATGCGTGACATTAACAATTTACTGATGACGAATGAATAGTTTCATGCAGTAAATATAGCGAATCTTTAAATTCGTACGGCCCTGCGAAATTTTACCAGAATGTCGCGCGTGCGCCGTTTTAATAAGGGGGTCGCGAACGATACACAGAGGATACAGAAAGAGGAAAAGGTGGGGAATAAGCATGCATCGAACTGTCGGCTTTCCGGAGTACTGTGAACTCACAGATCGACGACCCTAATATTTTTGTAATCGTTGTTTCTTCGATGACATTTTTATATACTTCTTGCTTCTTTTTTTTTAATTTATCTATTTTTTATAATCATTTTTTCCTTTTTTATGTAATTTATACCTTCTTTTATGAACATTCAAAATATTTTTATATGTGCGTATGTGCATATATATATATATATATATAT